TGATGCCATCCCTGCTCCTAGGAGACATCATTGCAGCTTCCAACCACACCTGAGCTGCCACTGCTGGGATTCCCTGCAGATTCCTAAACCACAATGGGGCTGCACGGCTCAGAATTCCCGAACAACCTGAATAGTCATTTATTCACTGGGAGAAGTCACCTTGGCTTATTTCCAAGGCCTGTGCTGGAGGTTGGTCCTGCTGAGGGAGCGGGAGGTGACGGATCTCACATGGCCAGTGTTCCCGTGGAGGCTGGACGTGCTCCTCATGGATGAAATCTTGGAATCATGGCCCGAAAAACCACGGCTGAGACAGCCTGGGGGCAGAAACCAACCCACAGTCAGATACTGATGGCACAGCTGGGAGCTTCCCATCCCTGGGAGTGTTCCAGGCCAGGCTGGATGGGGCATGGAGCAACCTCGGCTGGTGGGAGGTGTCCCTGCCCATGGCAGGGGGTGGAACTGGATGGGCTTTAAGCTCCTTTCCCATCCAAACCAGTCTGGGATCCTATGGAGCTAAGGATGCTGCTGGTTGGGATGGTTCTGGACTGGGGCTCTCTTTTTCAGCAGCCAATCCCTGTGGGATGCGCCTCCAAGGGATTAAAGCAAAACACCAATCTCCAGGGAGACCTCAGAGCCCCTTCCAGTGCCTCAAGGGGCTCCAGGAGAGCTGCAGAGGGACTTGGGACAAGGGATGGAGGGACAGGACACAGGGAACGGCTTCCCACTGCCAGAGGGCAGGGACAGATGGGATATTGGGAAGGAATTCCTGGCTGGGAGGTGCTGAGGCACTGGCACAGGGTGCCCAGAGCAGCTGTGGCTGCTCCATCCCTGGGAGTGTTCCAGGCCAGGCTGGATGGGGCTTGGAGCCACCTGGGCTGGTGAGAGGTGTCCCTGCCCATGGTAAGGGGTGGAATGAGATCAATTTGCAGGTTTTTCCCAACCCAAACTATTCCATGATCAGCTCGCAGCATGTTCCGGAGCTTACTAGCAGTGTCTGAAGCGATGTGCTCCTGGTCCAGGTAATATTTTAACTTCTGTAGATCCTCTGCAGAGTATCTCCACTTGTTCTCAGCACGTGTCGGTGGCAGCCTGGGAGTGGTTCTCCTTCGGGCAGACCCTGGGGGAGGTGCCACCTGGCAGGACACAGGGAGTGTGCCAGTGATCAGTCCCTCTGGGATCTTCTGTGCAAGGACCTTCAGGCCTGCAGACACACAGATCACATGTTCTCAGCACCCACCAGCTGTGGTGGGATCACTGGTTTTACCAGGCACAAAGGAAACACTGACAGAGGTCGAGACCCAGGAGGTTTTGGTGGAGAAAAGTGAGGGGGGATTGTGTCCCTCTGCCCTGCTCAGGTGAGATCCACCTGCAGTGCTGCTCCAGCTCTGGGTACCAACAGCAGGAGGATGTGGAGCTGCTGGAGAGAGTCCAGAGGAGGCCACAGAGATGCTCCAAGGGCTGGAGCAGCTCTGCCCTGGAGCCAGAATGGGAATGTTGGGGGTGTCCACCTGGAGAAGAGAAGCTCCAGGGAGAGCTGTGGCTGCTCCATCCCTGGGCTGGTGGGAGGCGTCCCTGGGGTGGAACTGAATGGCCTTTAAGGCTCCTTCAACCTAAACCATCCTGTGATTCCACAATCCACCATTTCCAACCTCCAGCTCACACAACCATTGCTCTCCCCTGTCCATTCCCCACTGAGGTCTCACCTCCAGCCCCACTCACCTCCAGACAACATGAAGATGTTCTCAAAGCCTCTCTCACACATGGTTGTTGCAGCCCGACTGGCCAAATGCTCATCGTTGTCATACACGATGATAATCTTCCCATGGGCATTTTTCTGCCAGGTGGAATTGTTAAGGAATCACTGCTGGACTGCAGGGGATCTTAAGACATCTTAGGAAGAGACAAACAATTGGGATTGAGACTGAGAGACGCCATACTTGGTCTGAAAGCATCAAGCAGGAATTCCTTCCTTGCAGCTGTGATTCCAAGTGAAGTCTCAGTAGATGAGGTTAGCCAGGACACAGTTTAATTCCCACTGGACCCAGCACTGTTTGGAGGTTGGTTAGGAACAGGGAATAGCAAGAAGCATCTGCTGTTTGTTTTGTTTATAACCTCCCCTCAGCAAGTCAACAACTTGGAAATGCTCAGCCTGATCCTACCTGATAATCCTCTTTCTGTCCTCAATCCCCATCAAGGTGCTGACAGGAAGCCAAAGGATTTGATGGATCTATCCCTCAGGCAGCTCAGCAACAACAGCAGAGCAGTGCTCATGGATGGCTTTGCCTTCCAGCAGCCAAAATCCCATGGAATGACCAATTCAGGCAGCTCCCACAGGAGTCAGGAGGTTTTATAACCTTGAGGAATTAGAATCCAACATCTAATGGAGACAGTGGAGCTGCACAAGGTCATCACAGCCAGGGTAAAGGACCTTCTGTCCCACGTTCCTTGGGAGCCCTGGATTTGCTTGGGCAGCCTCTAGCTGATTTTGGGAGCCCCCACCAACATCTCCCCATTTGTTTTTATGCCAGCACATTCTATAAAGGATACATATTTCAGAATACTGTTCATGTATGGATTCATGACCCTGGACAGAGTTGCAACAGGGTAGGAATAAGCTGCAGAGGAGAAAAAAATCAGAGAGAAAAATGATCCAATGGCCCCACAGCCTGGAAAACTACTGACATGGATTTGCTAGAGCTCAACAGCCAGGGAAAACCCACTGGATAAGGGATTAACATCAGCTCAGTCCCCTCATCCCTTTCCAGGAAGGACTGGATGAGTGCTGAGAGTGCTGCACCCACTTGGGGGGACAAAACCCAGGGAGAACATGCTCCAGAGTGGAATGTGTCTGTGGAATTGTGGCTCCTACCCCCAATGATGTGACACTGGTCATAGGCATCTTTGTCTCGGACATCCAGGAGCAGGAAGGGACAGTCAGGATAAGGCATGTCTTTAGCCTGAGTGCGCTCCTTCTTTGGAGAGTCCTTTTCCACATCCAGTTCTCCAACACCTTTGATCACACTGCAAGAGGAAAGAGGAGGCTGAGGTGGAACTTCTCACTTTGGACACTTCCATGTCTCTGCACCAGCTGGAGAAGAGCTGGGACAAAGCTTCCTCTTACAGCACCATCCTGGTGTCTCTGACCTTGCCCAGTGACATGGTGGGTATGGAAATTGAATTCAGTCTCAGTGAAAGGACAATCAGAGGATGTGGAATGGTTTGGGATGGAAGGAACATTATATTGAGGTGGAACTTCTCACTTTGGACACTTCCATGTCTCTGCACCAGCTGGAGAAGAGCTGGGACAAAGCTTCCTCTTACAGCACCATCCTGGTGTCTCTGACCTTGCCCAGTGACATGGTGGGTATGGAAATTGAATTCAGTCTCAGTGAAAGGACAATCAGAGGATGTGGAATGGTTTGGGATGGAAGGAACATTATATGTCATCCCACCCCCTGCCCTGCCCTGGGCAGAGACACCTCCCACCAGCCCAGGTTGCTCCAGCCCAGGTTGCTCCAAGCCCCATCCAACCTGGCCTGGACACTCCCAGCGATGGAGCAGCCACAGCTGCTCTGGACAACCTGTGCCAGTGTCTCAGCACCTCCCAGCCAGGAATTCCTACCCAATATTCCACCTGTCCGTGCCCTCTGGCAGTGGGAAGCCATTCCCTGTGTCCTGTCTCTCCAGACCCTTGTAGGATGACGATCCTCATCAGTAAGGCACAGGACTGAAGTCAGTAGAGCCCAACCCAAATTCCTGAATCCAGGGGCATGGATGCAATCCCACAAACACATTCCCTCCTCAGCCACTTAGACAATCAGCAGGTGAGTTACAGCTTCACCCGAACTCCCTCAGACAGCAAAACCTGCCACCCTCTCTCTGCCAAGGCCTTGATGAGAAATACAGCCTAAACCCACTTGAAAATCAGGACTTAAATAAAAACAACCATCTAAGACAGGAAGGAGACTGTTGTTTGAATCAGGCACCTCTGCAGTGTGGAATGATATGGCTCTCCAGCTCCTGCATTGTTGAGGAACAACACTGAACTAGGTGTTCCCTCAGGACTTCCTTTCCCATTTGTCCCTGCTGCCACTTCAACATCTTCCTTTGGAGCAGCAGCATCAGCATCTGTGGAAAGAGCAAGGACACACAAGGAGTTAAACATGCTGCAGGAAGGAAACAAGGAGGTTTTAAGGCCAAGTTTCTATTCTTGGGCCAAAGTGTGACAGGTTTATCTTCATCCTCTTATGGAGATCATTCACCCAGAGCCTCACAATGACAATAATCAACAGTCAAATGGTTTGGCTCTTAACGAGCAAAAAAAAACCCGCTTAAAAAGGGCTAAAAATCTCAGTATAAGAGTTCAATCAAATAGAAATATCATCTCCTGAGTGACTACAACAAACTTGGCAGCATGAGGATTTATCTTCACCCTCTTCTGGAGATCATTCACCCAGAGCCAAACGACTGTGCTCTCAAGGGGCCAGAAGAAAAAAAAAAAAGCTGAAAAAAAGGGCTAAAAATCTCAGTTGCAGAGGTCTATCAAACAGAACTAGTGATGTAAATCACCTCCTGAGTTACTCCAATAAGCTTAGCAGCATGAGGATTTTCTTCCCTGCAAGTTCTGGGAGTCTTTCCATTCTCAGCATGGAATAGCTCCAGGTTTGAGGTTTATTTTCCCTCCTGATTCAGAGCTGAATTGCCCCCTCTGTGTGTCAGGGCCCAGCAGAGCCCCTGATACTGATCTACAGCTCCTTCCCTTTGTGCTCACAACCAATATTGTTACCTTCCAGCTTGTGGAGCTCCTCAGTTGTCACTTCTAGGGTTTCATCTGATAGAGAGGCAACTTGGATAACCTGCAGGACACACAAACAAAGGAGAAGCCCTTGATAGACACACAGGGAAGGACAGCACAGATCAGCTTAAGGAAAAACAAACCTCAAGCCAAGGGTTGGGGTTAGCAATCCAGGGAAATCAAGATAGGAAGCTGCAGAAAGTCACTCCGACAGCTCCGAGTTTAACCTTCTCTCCTTGGAAAACACCTTGGTTTGGTCTAGTTTTCTTGCAGCAGCATAGAAGTACCACCCAGATCTTGATTTCCTGATAAACTTCCCCTCTTTTAATACTCTGATTCCATTAAAATCACCCACAGAAAGCCCTGGGAATCACAACCTTCCTCCTCCTGCAGCCAAATCTGCTGTCAGGGAGGGTTCAGGCTGTGACTCTTTGACACAAAGCTCAGTGAGATCAGATTTGATGTCATTTTACACTTTTGTGAGGCCTCAAGATCCTTTGAAGTTAAGAGACAGATAAAATAAGGACTAAATTCAAAGGCAGAGTCACTACAAACTTCAATTTGCCACTGAAATGACATAGAAACACACATATAAATACTCTGGAAATCAACTATTTGCCTTAATTAAAGGGAATCTATGAGACAGGAAAAAGCCAAGAGGGAATCACACACTAAGGCTAGAAAACTAGAGAGAAAATGTTACTTCAAGCTGAAAAAAAATGCTGTTCCTAAAAGATTTTGGAGAGATCTGTACATACCAACTGGGCAAAAGTTGTCACCTTCAACCTTTTAAACAGCTCATCCTTCTTGTACCTGTAATCTGCAAACACAAAACACAGGAGCAACTAGGTAAATTTCCAGTCAATCCCAAGATTTGGGAAAGATCAGGTAAGGGGTTGAATCCCAGTTTTGCTCAGAGTCTCTGCTCCAACCAGGTGGAATTTCAGGGCACTGAGTTTGTGGTGAAGGAATGGAAATGCAAAGCTGAAGACTGGGAAATAGGACCCTAAAGACAGACCTTAATTAGTACCAGTTCTAAAGACGGACCCTAATTAGTACCAGGTCCAAAGGCAGATCTTGTCCCAACACAATTCAAGCAGATTTAGCTGCTTTTAGCCTCAAATGTGTATTTCTTTGTGTTTTCCACCAGGAAGCAGCTGAGGAATTCACACCTTTCCCACTGTTTGAAACCCACTGAGGTCAAAAATTCCCTGAAACCAGATGAATTTCCCCGAGCTGTTCATTTGTGTAAACCACAGCAGAACCAGAGCATGTGGAATTGTATCTCAGACTGAGTCTGAGCTCGACATGTTTAATCTTCCAGGTTAAAATCCTCTGAGTTTCCTTTATCTGCCAATTACATTCCAAATCTTACCACTTGCTGCCATGGATCTCTAAAATGAATGGCTAATTGGCACAAGAAACCTGCACTAATTGCACCTTAATCCTGAAGACAAAGCTTAGGGAGCAGAAAAACTGAGCAGTCTGTTGGAATTGCCTGGCAAAGCCCCAGGGCAGACAGTGATGACAAGGAGGGAAAGCTTAATCCCATCCGGATACTTGAGATGCAGGAACAGGAGGCAGAGAAGCTTTCCAAGGTGAAACAAAAGGATGTGTGTAACGAGAAGAGAGAGAGAGAAGCCAAGAGCTGTATCAGTAGGAACATCTTGATATGAAGTAGCTTCTCATGGGAAGCAATGGGAGCTTTGTCCTTTGGGGAATGGACAGAGGGAAGGAACTGGTTCCTCTCCAGCTGTTCAGCTAAGAGGGATAACAATGGATCTGTAGCAAATCCACTCAGTTAAACAATTCTAAAGCCTCTAAAACCATCTGCTAAATGCTCCATTAGCTTAAGGAGGGATGAGGGGGAAGGGAGAAGAGCTCCAAGCCACATTCCTACACAGAATTCCTGCAGAATTTGCTTCTGGAAGTTCTCAGGTTGAGGTGTGTTCAGAGAAGGAATGCTGAGATCCCCTCCCAACACAGAGTCCCCAAACTCAGCAACCAACCCTGGATGATCCTTATTAGGCTGCAAAACAAACACCTAGGAAAAAAAGAGCTCATCCCAAACATCCCAGTGCACTGCAGTGGGTCTGAAATCCAACCTGGATTTCAGGATGCCAACTGAAAACGAGCCTCAAACCACCTGGTCCCAAGGCTCAGGTTCAGGTGATTAAATCCTCCTCTACCTCATACAAACAACAGCAATTAGCTCCTGTAATTAATGCCCACAAAATGCCAAGGGGCAACTGATTCAAACTCCTCAGCCATGGCCAAAAAGAGCCTTTTAGGCATGTCAAGAGTGAGGAATAAGATCAGTTTAGAAGGATACATAACAACAGGAAAGCTTGGGAAGTGTTGGATGGATAGAAACACCAACACAGCAGAATCCTTGGACAAAAAAAAGCCACAATTATTTTCTGTAATTAATTCCCCGAAAATGCCAAGGAGCAACTGATTCAAACTCCTCAGCCACGGCCAAAATGAGCTTTCAGGCATGTCAGGAACAAGGAATAAACTCAGTTCAAAGAGAGAAATAATAGCAGGAAAGCTTGGATGGAGAGAAACACCAACACAGCAGAACTGTTGTACAAAACAGCTCCTGGATGGTTTTTCCCCACCCCAAACAAAGACTATTCATCCCAAAACAAGCCTTCATTCCTAGATCTCGCCTTTCCCACCACAAAATTCCTTCCCAGCAGTCAGCAAAGCTCAGGGGAAGTGCTGCTTCCACCTCCAAAAAGCCATACCACGTACCCGGTACAGTCCTGAAAGATCCAGTGGAGTTTTCCATTGTGTTTTTCCAGGAGGTTCTCCTCCTCCTCCTCAGGGCTTTGGAGAGGAGGGAAGGAAGAGCAGGGAAAAGGGAGAGAGTTGGTGGCTGTCCTCAAGTCACTCCTGCAAAGGACAAGGCTGCAGCTCTTTTGATGCCACAGGAGGCTCATGGGTTTAAGTCCTCCTCTCTCGGGTTACATAAGAGACAGAGAGTTGCCTGTGCTGAGCACCTAAAGTCATTCCAAATGGTGTCATCTATCCATGAGAAATCAAGGATGGAGATGTTTCTGAGCTGCCTGGGAACACAAGGTATCTATTCAGCCCCCAAAAGAACGGGGGAAAGCTCCTCCTTGGTCTCCAGGAAACAAAGGAGGGAAATGAGACTCAGAGCAGAGACTCAAAAGCCTCTGATGGATCAGCACAAAGTGTTGGCAGAGCTCAGAAATCTTAGGCCACACAGGAGTGTTTTGGGAAAGACAAGGTCATTCCCCCTGGGATTGGAAAAACCCAACAAATAAAGCAGTGACAAAGGAGCTTTTTTTGCATCAATCAGCTCACATGAGGCTTTGGGACCTCAGGCCCAGCAATGGGGCTGGGAACTCAAACAGGGCATTTAAAAGCCTAATTAATCCTCATTAACAGTGATTTCCACTCAATTCCATTTTTCTTTCCCCTCACTCAGTGCTGCTTTGAGGTTTAAGAGCTTTCCTGGCTCTTTGTGTGGGAATAATCTGGGCAGGAGGGGGAAAGAAAGTAGCAAAAATGCTTTAAAAGGTTTTTTTCGGGGGGGAGAGGGGGGGGAAGGCTGAAATAGGAATAAATTTGGGTTTTTACTAGCCTAAAATCTCCAAAATCTCTTTGTTTGGTGCTGATGGAATCAGTGAGTTACCCAGGAATGAGACTGGGGTTTGCTGTCTTGGAGTATATTCCAAGAGAAACCTGAATGATACAAAGGTAAAAGAGCTCAAGTTGTCCTGGTGACAACTGAAGTCACTAGGAGAGGCAGAAATAAGGCACAGAACAAGAGGAAAGTGCCCAAAAATTAAGGTAGAAGCACCTTTGTATCCTAGTCGGTGTGTTCCTACAGCTGACTCCCAGAAATGGCTGTGGGAAGCTTGGGAGTGGAGAATTGCAAGCAAAAATCTCCTGGGATGCCACTCCTGCTCCTCAGTCCTTTGAGTTTTGACCCATTTTGAACCCAAGCAACACCTTCAGCTCCTCCCCAGGTACTCACTCCTTTGGATCTCTTCCAGCTTCTCTCTGTACTTGGACAAACTGTGTCCTGCAACAAGAGGGAAAATATATCCATTTATTTTTTCTATCATTGTTTTTTGTTATGATTATTTGTATTCTCTTTTTTATCCTTGTGGGTTTTCCAGTCCTATTAAAGGCTTCACTTTAGGGTTTGGGAAGGAAACAACTATTTGTTATAGATTCTCTTTTACATCAGAGTCCAAACAGCCAAAAAAACCCACCAAACCCCAAGATTTGGTGCTTTTCCCTCCAGGAAAATCCAAGGATTTGCTGCCTCTTGCCAATATTTTTTTAAGGGGATAAAAATCCACCTGATTGAACCACAAAATCCCCTCATAAATAACTCTCTTGGCTTCACCTTCAGGACTGGGGTTGAGACAAGGCAATTACGTGTGGAGGAACTCCAAGCCTTGGAATTCCTATGGGAATTGTCAACACAGAGCATAAGATGAGCTGAAATGTATTTAAACACCCTTTTAAAACCTCCATTTCTTCTGGGGAAAGGAAGAGTAGGGTGGAAAAACAAAGAGGTTTTGAGACACAAAGACTTTACAGAAGGGCACAGAGGACTTCACTTCAGTTTTGAGGGGATAAATCATCACAAAGACACATAAATCTACATATAAACACAAATAAATACACATTAATGCCCATAAATATACCAAAGGGCACATAAAGGCAGACAAACACATGTACATCTGCAGGTCTGGGGCTTGTTTACCTTCGAGATTGATAAGAAAAATGAAGAACGGGCAATTTTTAAGAGTTTCCAAGTGTTTTGGTGAGGCAAATCCTAAAAGCAAAGCGATTTCTGGCAGAGGCTCCAACGGGAATCAGCTCAGCCCACACAGAATTCAGACATTCAGTGGGTTTTGAGCAAAGTCTGTGCTGCTTTTCCCTCCTCCCACACCAAGTTTGGGGGTCGTGAGTGGCACTCACCAGTGTCCACACGGGATTTGATGTGCTGGTATCTGGGGTTTGGGGGCATTCTCCGTGCAAGAACCTGGCGAAGGGAGGAAAAGGGGAGGAAAAAATCAACATACAGACGTTTATGGATAGGAGAAGGCAAAAAAAGAGGAGCAGGGAACGGGAGTTGAAGGGGGAAAGAGACAGGAAAAGGAGCAAAACCAAAGGGAAGAGGAAACACTCAGGGCATTAAAGCAGGGGGAGAATGGTGGGTTAAAGGCTGGAAAGGGAAAAATTATCACCGTTAAGGAGAATTTATAGCCTTTTAAGAAGAATTTAAGGCCTTTTAAGGAGGATTTATCGCATTTTAAGGAGAATTTATAGCCTTTTAAGGCGATTTTAAGGCCTTGTAAGGAGAATTTATTGCATTTTAAGGCGAACTTACAGCCTTTTAAGGCAAATTTAAGGCCTTTAAGGGTGAATTTACAGCATTCTAAGGATAATTTAAGGCCATTTAAGGAGAACTTATCGCATTTTAAGGCTAATTTAAGGCCTTTTAAGGCGAATTTAAAGACTTTTAAGGCAAATTTATCGCATTTTAAGTTGAATTTAAGGTTTTTCAAGAATTTATGGCCTTTTAAGGCGAATTTAAGGCCTTATAAGGCGAATTTATGGCCTTTTAAGGCGAATTTACCGCCTTTTAAGGAGAACTCATCGCTCTTCAAGCCCGCAGGAGCCGCCGCAGGACG